TTGGAGTGCTTTTACTTTAAAAATTTGTAACATGGCTGATTAGCAATACAAGTTTATCAACAAAGACATTCAAGTTAAATATTAGAAATAAGATGTCTTGGTTTTACTAATCCTGTCAAAATAAGTCTTAAAATTATTGCTAACACCAGTATCACTTCTAGCAACGACATATACTGACGTATCTATCACCTTCACAGCGATATCAGAATGCCTCCTGAGCTTTAAGCTCCAGCTTTAGTGAAATCTGAAAATATCTAAACCCTTCAATAACGGGAAAAAAAAAAATTACTGGGATAACAGCTATCAAACTTTATTAAAGCAAGTTTTAAAATGTATTTTCCAGGGTTCACTCTCTGTGATGAGGTCATTAATATTCTCCTGCCCAATAAATCATTTTATTACTTTCTTACTTTAAACCTTAATCCGCCAGGGTTATGCATAACAATATGTACTTTTTTCAGAATTGCTAATCTTGGATTCCCATGATAGAAAAATAAGGTTTTGGATTAATTATAATGAAATTAAGGTTGTGTTTTTCAGTCAGAACCTTCTTCCCTCTGCAAACCTTACATAAGTCCAGACTTTGCTATGAAGGTTCATTGGTGAGAGAAAACTTTCCAACTTTAACAGATACTGTCATTTTTCCTCCTTTATAGTGTCACATTTCCTCCTTTATGTTCTTCCTTTTGTCCTGTTTTCTGGAAAGTCTTCTTACAGACGTGTCCTTAAGAAACCTTAAAGCTCTACCCACAGTTCTAATTAATTACTGTTGATGGAGATAGAAAAAAAACAGAAGCTCACTCACTTCTAACACATTAATTACTGAGCTTCATTTACAGAGATGACAGAGTAATGAAGCTGTTATTGCACCTTCATCAAGACAGAGCTTTTAGATTTAAATGGTATCAAACTAAAAGAAAAAGCAAAAAAAGACAAACAACAAAACAACCCAATAAAAACTGCTCTCCTCCGAAAGAGAACCAGGAATTATACCTTCTGCTTTATCCAAACGAGAAACCTGTCTGAATTCAGTGGCGCCTCTTCAACTCTGTTCGCTGCCTTAACCAGGAATAGAAAGCTAAATCAAGAGTTTTTAATTGGCAAACAACCATACATGACTATCACCAGTCACCGTGGAGCATCAGCTACCCAAGCTAATTTTAGCACCAAGTTCCTTAGTGTGGGCAGGTCTGATGAAATTGCTTGAAACGTCTTAAAAATTTAAATAACATGCATGCTGCACAGAGAAAATGAGGGAGATGTGTTCACGCCGGCACAAACGGATTGCGTTAGAGTGCGGGAATAGCAGCGGAGTGGGTAACCAAAAGAAGATCGCTGGGACAGACAGGCAGACGGATGGACGGACAGACGGGGAGA